AAAAAAAAATGTTAATGTTGAAGTTCTCTGTTTCTCCTCAATACTGTTTATTAATGAAGCGTGCTTGACAAGGATATTTTGTATTTACTTTCACAACTCTTATCGATGAGGCATTGAAACAGAAACAGAATCCTTAACCTTAAATTTCGACGATGTTATATCTTTGTGTTGAAGCAAATGGAGGAATTTCTGAACATTTATTATAAATTGAGCTAATCATTGAGCATTTTTTTCCTTTTGTTCATTGCTTGTTAATGATTAAAATATATATGTGTAATTGAAATAAATTTAATTTTTCCACTTATATATTTATTTTTTATTAAAATCATAAAATTCCTATATTGTACCATGTAGTATTAAAACGAAGTGTCGTAGAGAAAAACATTATTAACAAAATTTGTTTGTTTTTGTGTTCTATTTCCCTTCAAAGTTTGTCGGTTTAATTTTTTTACACCCTGTATATACAGGGTGTCCCATTTTAATCGAACCAGGTAAACATATCGAAAAATATGGAAGATACGGAAAAATATTTCAAATATACGTTGTATGGTTCGGAGGGGGGCATAAAATAGTATAATTGGCTTGACACTGGATAGTCATTTGAAAGTCACGTGAAGGTCACCTTCAATTTCTTAAATGGTAATCGCCATTTTTCATTGCATATTCTTGTAGCTTACCTGGAGAGCTTTTAACACTATGACAAGTAGTAACAAGTAGTACAAAGTATTTTTTCATTAAATTCTTTTCGAGTTATATGGCTTGAAAGTTACAGTACCGCCGGCATCAGCACTATCCAAGGTGTAGGTTGCCCGGTCGGATTTACACCTCTTTTGTGTGTGTGTGTGTGTGTGTGTGTGTGTATGTGTGCGTGCGTGCGTGCGTGTGCGTGCGTGTACGAGTACGTTCAAGCGCACGCACGCACACACAACACACACACACACACACACACACATATACACATACACGTACGCACACACACACACACACACACACACACACAGCAGCAGCAGCAGCAGCAGCGGAAAGGGTTTGGAGTCATTAAATATTACGGGAGTGACGAACCGTGGGGTCTTTATTTCTGCTGTGACACACACACAAAAAAGGTTTAAATCCGACCGGGCAACCTTCGCGTGGTACACCTTGGATAATGCTAATGCCGGCAGTATTGTAATTTTCAAGCTTTATAACTCGAAAAGTACTTCATGAGAAAAATACTTTATTATAGTGTTTTGGAAAGCTCTCGAGGTAAGCTACAAGAATATGTAATGAAAAATGGAGGTTTCTATTTAAGAAATTAAAGGTGGCTTTTACGTGACTTTCAAACGACTATTTAGGATCAAGCCAATTACACCATCTTATGTCCCCCTCCGAACCATATAACTTTTGTTTGAAATATTTTTCCGTATCTTTCATATTTTTCGAGATATTTGTCTGGTTCGATTAAAATGACTCACCTGACCTATATATACAAGGTGTTCTACACTCTCCTTCTCACATTAAGTGGAAATGTATAACAGGTTGAAGTAAGCATAAAAGTTCTGTACCATTTTGCGATATTCGCAATAATAGTCGAGGTGTGAATTGAAAAATTTGGTGAATGATCATGGGCGATATGGTAGATGAGTTGCAGTGGCGCCGTCTGCCGTTGTATACTTATATATTAAGTCAACCTGAACAAAAAAAGTACATCTACCATTTTACAAATGACCACATAGATTTTTAGATATTAAAGAAAATATTTACATATATGATTGTGTACAATAATGTACAAATTTTCTTTAATTAATATCTAAAAGTCTATGTGATCGTTTACAAAATAGTAAAGGGTTCTTTTATTCAGTTTGACTTATTGTATAAATATACAACGCCAGACGGTAGACGGCGCCACTACAGCTCATCTACGATATCGCGCGTGATCACCATTCTTCTCTAATTAACATCTCGACTATCATTGCGAATATCGCAAAACGATATAGGACTTTTATGTTTACCTCAACCCGGTAAATATTCCCACTTAATGTGAGAAGGAAAATGTGGGACACCCTGTATATCATCTTTGTATCAGATTTGCGTTCTTGGTTTGCGCAAAGTCTGATTGCCGGGACGGCCTCGCACGAGACCCGGTGACGTGAGGAACGGGAGATGGTCTGGTTTGACAACGAATTAACGTAAGCTGAAGTCTCAACGAAAACAACTTTATTTTGGTTGCGCTCTTGGTCGGCGTGATCTTGAGATTGCCTGGATCGCTCCGCACACGGAATCTTCTCCGTGGTCAGCCGATCTCAACAATCGCGACGGAAAGCCTGTTAGTCCGCGTACAATCAGCGACTAGTCGGAAATCTTGCCGCGGACCACTGCGATCTTCGGAAGTGATGAAATCGTACGGCGACCCGCGGATTGGTTGGAGCTCGCCGTAAATCGGGCGCAACCAAATTCGACGAATATCTGCTAAACTCGATCGCGCGAGAGAGCACAATAGCCGACGGTTAGAGCCTTGCGCACCGCCGACCCACCTGTAGCGGATGTCACTTGCTTCCCCTGAAGCAGTTGAGAGTCGCCCGAATGAATGCAACGAAAGGATCGTCTTCTTATTCTGGGGCTACGAGTGCGGTCTGTCCGATTAAAAGATTGTGCCACGACCGGAAGGCGAAGCTCGCGAATTGCCGCGCACGGTGTTTAATATACCCGTTGGGTTGTGCTCTGTCGCGCGCGGATTGGCGGTTTTATGATCGTGAGATTAACGCATTTCTTGATTTCCTTAAAAGGAGATAAAGTGTTGCGAAGCGAGGATCCGCGGCGCGTGCCGGCTGTTGATTCGCGGAATCGTTGTTTCGGCCGCGGTTGCTATGCCAACGTCAAAGATTACTTAAACGGAGCGATGTGATTATCCAGCACGCGCCACGGACCCGCTTGTTTACGTGTCCTTGCTTGATATCACTCGCGAATAAATATGTTCGAGATTCGGAATAGATGTTACGTGTTCTCTCGATTTTCTGAAATATTATTGAATCTACTGAAGATTCTGGAATATTATCTCCGCAGCTCATTGGCGTCGAATCCCGAACAATCTTCAATTTCCAATTGAAGTAAAAATGTAATTATATCTACGGCTAAAACGCCATGAATTACAAATACATGAATTATAAAGTAAAGCAGAGTTTAAAATAGTTTGCCTCAGGTGATTTTTGGGAGCTACGCCTTCTATCTCTCCTTGCCGCGCAGCGGACTACGCAACTGACGGTCGCGGCTGTCAGCCTGAAGGTCTTTAGATTATAGGGACGCATCTATGTGGTGCCTACATAGTGCGTTCGGGAAACGCGCTGATCAACGCTAACGCATCATTTAATTCTTGTTGTACATGTAAAGAGCGATAGAGATAAAATAACATGTTAACGTATACAACAAGGATTGAATGGCGCGTTAGCGCTGATCAGCGCATTTCCTGAACGTATCTTTGGTAGGCATTACATAGAAGCATTTCTTATAATCTGAACGGCCCTGAGAGCCGCGACCGTTAGTTACGTGGCCTGCCGCGTGGCAAAGGAAGATAGAAAACGTAACTCCCGAAACTTCGCCTATGGGTATCGAAAATGGATAAACTATTCCGAGCTCTCAAATAGAGAATAAGCCAACTCTAAAACATACAAGCGTTTATTTAAAAATAAAAGTGTTATTGTTACTACGATCTATATGTTGTTTGATTCACTTTTAGAAACTTTTCATTTTTAGATGTTCGTGCATTTTTTTGTTTTCAAAGCATAGTTATTTAATAAATATATCCTGTAATATTTCTAAATTCATGATTTTATCTATAATCTATTAATTTTCTCTATAATCATAAATAAATATAATATTAAATTTAAAATCATAGTAAATTGTAAATATTTAAATTCAAATGCATGAACTATCAATATAGTTTTAATGCTTAGAATGCATTTCTCAAGTCGGTTGTCTATTAAGCAGCTTTATATGTAGAATAGTCTAAAACTTAATATTTCTATTGTAGAATATTACCATTAAATTTTTATATTATGGAGCTAGCCAACTAGCTAACAAACTACCTAATAATAATTGCGCAACAGGTAATATTGTCAATGGTAATGTTACAGCTGACTGATGAGCTGAACCATGGAAAGCTCCTCGTAAAATCCATCCACCAAGACTTACGGACTTGTGAGTGCTTGTAAATAGTATAGCCAGCAGAATACTCCGTGGTAACCATTGAGATCCCAAAATCCAGCATAAACTATTAAGAAGGAGATGGCCCACGCATGCTTGAAAAAAAAAATTTGATTAATTATATAAAATTTTCTTAACAAAGTAACAAGGAAAAATATTTAAGTGACCTTTATCTAATAAAAATTGAATATATTATTGATATATAAAAAATAAAATGTATTTTTATGTATTTCTTTAAGTACTTTTTCTACGTTCAAAGGTTTAAATGAACGTAAAACTGTATAAAAAAGGTAATAAGCCCCGATTTTTTCTATTTGAAATATATTATACAGAATTAAATTCTGAGTAACTTTTTCCTATACAACTATAGCGGTCGCATATATTTTCGGAGATATTTGACTTTAAAGTTTTGAAAATGTACATGTTATAAATGGACCTAACCCTGGCATCTAACTCTGTTCAGCATCTTCCAACTAGCAAAAGTTTTTGTTTACATTACTTACACGATAGCTCTATAATCACAAATGTTGTGCGTCAGTGATTAGTTTCTCACAGTTCGCGAGTAGTTTTCAATATGCGACTACACGAGTTCCGAAGTGTATGTCTTTATAAAATGGGGATTTATAATGTCTTTAAAAATGGAGATTTATAACGTACACTTTTAAAACTTTAAAGTCGAATATCTCTGAAACTATATGCGATTGCTATATAATTGTGTAGGAAAAAGTTATACAGAATATTATCCTCTGTAACATATTTTAAACAGAAAAAAATCGGAGCTGTGATACTTTTTATAGTTTTACCAAAACCCATGTCGGTGTTAACTTAATATATTAAACTACAGATATATACAGTAGGATGTAGCGAAAAAAAACTTTGGTAAAAACGCAGTTTAGGGGAGTCAGATGCAATGAACTTGACCTTAACATATGTTATAGTGGCGATCATCCTGAGTAACATAAAAAAGTTTTCACTCGTTATTTGTTAAAAAATTATTAGCAAAAAAAGTTATATAGAATGAATATAATTTTAGTACATCGTATATAAAAAAAATATCGAACCTGTAAGCTAAGAAGATACCTGCTACACACACACACACACCCTGCTCGCCAGTAAACGCGCTCGCCCGCCTGACAGAGCGGGCTCGCGATGGATGCGTATGTATATATAATAGGAACATATCCATCCACCGCGAGCTCGCTCGTGGCGAGCAGTGTATGTGTGTGTGTGTGTGTGTGTGTGTGTGTGACTGAATGTACATTGTTGCGAGTAACATAACAGTTTAGGTTAGTTTAGATTAGGTTAGGTTATGTCACTTGCAACAATGTGTTACGTTCAGTTGCATACGCGCACATACACACACACACACACACACACACGTACATACACTGTTTGTCAGCAAGCACGCTCGCCTGCCCGATAGGGCGGGCTCAAAGTAGGTGCGTATGTTCCTATTATATATATATATATATATATATATATATATATATATATATATATATATATATATATATATATATATATATATATATATATATATATATATA